TTCGGACAACAGGAATGTTGGTTATAATTTATAATTAATCAAGGGGGAAGCGGAGTGGGAAGGAGGAAGCGCCTAAACCCCGGAGGAATTTATACAGCGCATGGGGGGGGATGTGGAAAGGCATTCAGGCTTAATTCCGGGGAATGGAGCACAGATCCAATTACCCAAATCAAGAAGACCCTCACCAACATCAAGGACCTTCCTTGAGGGGTAAAGATGTCGTAGAGATGTTTATGGTCTGGTGTTATGCCTGTGGGTTTTCTGTCACAACTATCAGGGGAAAGCATTTTAGCGTCATAGGCTAGATTATATAGGAGTTTAAAGATCCTGTAGACTGTAGATTGCTACATTATTTTATTATAATCAAGGGGGTAAGCGCTTATAACCCGGGAAGGATATACAGCTCCTGGGGGGGGATGTGGAAGGCATTCAGGTTAATTTGGGGGGAAATACTGACACATTGTGCATCAGAATCCAAACAATTCCCTTAACCTAACATCCAAGGTGTCCGCTCACCACCAACATACATGCACCCTATCTCCTTGAAGGGGTTGTACGCGGACCCCGATTGAACAGTAGTAAGTGTGCATTGTTACTGAACAGGCGCGAGTGGCTACAGTAAGTTTAGATCTATGAAGTGTGGCCCGGGGCGGGCGGCCGGTCTTCGTTGCCCCCAGGGATGGGATTTAGTGTTATTTCGTTACCCCTGCCCAGCTCTCTTCTCGTTCACCCCTCGGGATTCCCATTATTGGACTTTAGGTGGTTTTGCTTTGCAGTTGATCCCATGCACAAATAGCATAGGTGACGGTATGGATAAATTAGTGAATGGGTAGCATAACCGTTCCATAGAGCTTGCCTTTAACCGATTTTGCCGTTATCTGAATTAATTTTCCCCATAAGAAATAATGGAAATCCAATTAATCCTTTCCAGATACCCAAAAGTATTAAACAAAATAATTTTTTTTACATGAAATATAAATTTCCCTACACAGAAAACAGTGAGACATGCACAATAAACAATACTGAAATGACACTTACCTTTATTGAGGACTTAATGATGAGTGATGATATGGGAGGAAAGGAAGAGGCTGGAGGTGCATTATTGTTTGGAAGGGGAATCCCCTTCCATAAGGACTTTAGGAAGCAAGTCCTTTTCCGGGGTTACCTCCCTTCTGTTTTTTAATGCCACTAGGACCAGCTTGAGAGTCACTGGACCCATGTCGCACCAAAAATCTGTCCAGAGAACTCTCTTTCTGGCGTGTCTTTAAGATTTCCCTAAAATGGGACACAACATTGTTATTGTAAAAGTCACCAGCACGGCTTGCAACAGCTGTGTCAGGGTGATGGTCATCCATAAACGCTTGCAACTTTGTCCACATTGTACAAATGTCCACTATCTCCTGATAATTGTTTCTCGTTGATCCACGCCAACAAAAGTCTCTCCACATCTTTGAGTATTTGTGATCTTTGTTTTGTAAGCATACTTGCACCTTTTGCAACTGCTTCCTTGATTGCATTTTTGTTGGCCAAGATAGTATGATGGTTGAATGGGGTTTGTTATATAACCTGGCCAACTTGGAGACACGTACTACACTTTCGTATTTTGCGGTGATCTCTTTCTTCAATTTGATAGTATTTCTCGCCCTTTTTACCAAAGGGTTTCTTTGGGTCAATGGTGGCTTATTTAGCAGTTACAAGCACTAAAAACAATGGAATAATACAAAATGTATCACATGCATGCATGGAATCGTCCTCCCTGGCTTGTAAACAATGGCATACTAGCTGTACTGGAAAGGCCGCGCGGACATGTTCGAGATGAATGCTCTTAACCGAGTATTTGGGCGTTAGACGAGCCAATATTTTGCCACAAAAAAGGGACGCAGTCCGATTTTGGCATTAGCCAATGCAACCGTTACCTGAAGGTCCACTGTATATGTAAACACACACTGTAACCTTTGCAAAGAAATAAATATTTTATTTATTTATTTAAGGAACTTCCCTTGATGAGGAAGTTCGCATCCTGAAATTTCGTTCATATCCAGAAGCAAAAAATCGATCGAATGACGGTTCGTATCCTGAAAAATTTGCATGGTGGGGCGTTTGTAAGCTGAGGTTCCATTGTATCTCCAAGGACCTAGACAAGACACCAGACAAGTTGTCCAAGAGATTGGAAGACATCAGAACCCATTATGCCTTCTAAATATCCTTGTTTAATGCACTGTACAGTGTGTTGTGAGAAGAATTGTGAATTGACATTTTTTAATAGCTATTAGGACCTAGACTCCACATTCTTTTTATTTTCAGTACATCTCCACCTACACAATTTTACATTCAATTATCATGTAAGTGACAGAAATAACTTGTATCGCCTTCGATGAAGTAATTTTTATTTTCATTATTTTTTTCTAATACACCAGCTATTTCCCACTGAAGCAGGGTGACCCAAAAAAGAAATGAGTTTTTTCTTTTTACATTTAGTAATTTATGCGGGAGAAAGGTTTACAAGATCCTTGTTCAATTTCAAAGTTATGTAGTCATTAACTTAGCATGTATTGGGGTGGCAAGTATTGTTTAATGCCAGTTTCCAAAAGTCAGTTTAGCACTGCTGTACCCAAGGATGCCCCAACATGGTTGACCAAGCCATCAACAGGGAAGCCTGGCCACAGGCTACAAGGGTACAGCCCTCTGAGACCAATCACAGGTCAGGTGCACCCATGACAAAACTTGCAGCGGTGTTTTACGTTTTAAGTAAAATTCCACAATATACACAATGTAATGCAAATAGATGTGAGTGATAGATGATAGCTTGACTGGTCATTGACTGAAACAAGAAGATTGTAAAGTAAAAGGACACAAGTGCAACTAATGTGACATTTTATTGTGGCAACGTTTCGCTCTCCAGGAGCTTTATCAAGCCATTACAAACAATACATGGACACAGAAGGTATATAAAGGCTCAGAGTGAGGTGCAATACTAGTGAGGTACCATTTCGATGTTCACTAGTGGTAGTAGTAGTAATAGTAGTAGTGACAAAAGTAATACAATATGGTAGAGCAATTAATTCGTATGAGTAAAAGGTACGAATTAATTGCTCTACCATATTGTATTACTTTTGTCACTATACTACTACTACTACTACTACTACCACTAGTGAACATCGAAATGGTACCTCACTAGTATTGCACCTCACTCTGAGCCTTTATATACCCTCTGTGTCCATGTATTGTTTGTAATGGCTTGATAAAGCTCCTGGAGAGCGAAACGTTGCCACAATAAAATGTCACATTAGTTGCACTTGTGTCCTTTTACTTTACATATTGTCGGTAATTCTACCAACTTTATTACAAGAAGATTGTAGATGAAGAATCACTCCACTAATCCTTGCATTGAATGGCCCACACAAAATGAAAGATTTAAAGTTCTAGATCTCTGGGTCCTTTTATGCACACTGAGGTTTTACGAAGATTAAGCCGGACATGGGGTAGGTCATAGAGATTTTTGTGTCTAGTATTATGTCTATGGGTTCTGTTATAACTATCAAGGAAGTGCTTAAATATTTTTATTCTCCATGGGGTGCTGAAGCTCCTAATGAGAAAGCAAATGTAGAAAGAATGTACAGTCACTGCTGCAGCTTACAAACACTTGATTATTATTATAATACTCAAGGGGGAGCACTAAATCCATAGGATTATGCAGCACCTGAGGAGGAGAAATATGGAAGGTATTCAGGCTTAATTCAGGGAACTGGAGCACAGATCCAATTCCCTAGATCAAGAGCCCCTCACCAACATCAAGGACCCTTCCTTGAGGGGTACAAACACTTGAACCTTTTAATCTAAGGGCTGTGGGTTTGAAGGGAATTCTTTAGATGTATGTTGAAATACTGAACATACAAGTGTGTGTGTGTGTCAGTAGGTGATCAGTGTATACCTGGAGGGTGTTCCAGGGGTCAATGCCCCCAGGGCCTGGTCTTCTTGAATGCCCAGTTTAAAATTGCATGAATTATCATAAGGTATGGGAGTTGTACAACTGCTGTACTCTCGGTATATATTTATTTCTGGAGAAGGCTGATTCCTTAATCAAATTGATTCACAGGTTATTTTCAGATATTGAAATGTGTTGTTATATTCATGGAGGGGAGCCTAAACCTATTAGGATCATTAGACACCTGGAGGAATGGATGCTGTATAATCCGTATGGGTTTAGCATCCTCCTCCCCATGATAATGATGGAGGAATGGGAGATAATCAGGTTTGAATAAAATAAGGGGCATTCAGGTAAAGCTCCATGCTTCTCTAATCACAGGAAGGAGTAATTAGGAATTTGTGAGTGATTGCTGAGGGAAAATTACCTATATACTGTACTTGGTTAAACAGTGTATCTTGTACCTGATGTTCACCTTTTTCTTTCTGAAATACAGTACTGCACTCAACTTTGTATGGTAGACTGCAGGATAGGAAAATACAGTATTAGAATTTATGCTTTTATTAAATTATCCAAATTATGTACAATTCAGTTTGTTTATCTGGATTCAGTAGGATATTTCATACAAGTTCATAAATAAAAATAGCCTCACAAAAGTTGTTTTGCTAACAAAATTTACTGCATTATTTTAACAGATTTAGAAAAATGGAAGGAGTGAGCGTTTGCATCCAGCTGAGAACACAGCGAGTCCCAAAAGTAACTCCTCTTACATGTGGCACTTTGCTCTGTTTTGCATGGACTGTCATGTAATCTTGATAGTTAATTTGTGGCAGTCACCAAATGACACAAGAACTTCATTTCAGATCCCTTTTTCAACAAAATGGCATACTTGTCAACAGTTTTCTCAGATGGCTGTACCTTTACTACAGTTTACAATCTCTTAGTTGACACCAATTTTCTACAGTGGTGATTTCCAAGCCTTTCCTGAATAACACAACTCTCCTTCCTTTCTGGGTATATACCTTGATGCTGGTGACACTTGAGGAATTAGAATGCCCTCTTTCTTGAATCATTCTTAATTTTCCATACATGGTCCCATGGGAAGAACTATTAGATCAGTTAATCCTAAAAACATGGAAGTCTTGTATATGTATCTTTCAATGAAGGCTAAAAATAATTTTCATAGGCATAAAAAAGTCCCTTGTACCCCTGTCAGTACATATTTAAATCAGTATAAAATAGTACCCACGAAGTGATTCTTAGTAATACATAAACTATCCAAAAATGGCTAAAATACTAAGGCTACAGTCCAGCATATTTTAGGGAAGTCAAAAAATAAATTGCAAATGGAAAATTGGATTGATGGAACCTTCATATAGTACTGAATGACCCTTATGGGTTTAGTGCTCCTTATAAATATTAGCAACAGTTGCTTCCCTGTAAGGATGATCAACTTGCAATCCTTACAATCCTGCAGCTCCTCGCTGCCTGATGGAGCGCCAGTAATACCCATACTATTGTACTGTACCAACTTATATTTTTAATCATTTTTTATCTCATTTGAACAAAAAAAAAAATTCGCTTATAAATTCATTTAAAACAACATACAACAGATTTTTCCTGTAATACATTCATCAGTTGAAATTATTTTAGCATAAGGTTGAAATCGTCATACATCTGGCAGTGAGCATTTGGGGGGGGACTGCAGCTCCTATGGACGAGCAGCCACTGATTGTAAGGATGATCAACTTGTAATCCTTGGTCCCTTAGTGAATTTGACAAAATTAGTCCTGTGACTTGACAATGTAAAAAACTGAAGACACTTGCAGTAACGTTATAAAATACTGTGTATTTGATAAACCAGCAAGTGGTTTTAGCAAGCACTGTACTTGATATAACCAGCAAGCACTGTACTTGATTAAACAAGCAAGTGATTGTATAAAGTACTGTACTTAATAAAACCACTTTCTGGTTTTATCAAGCACTGTACTGATAAAACCAGTGTCTCATTGGTAAAATGTTATAAAAAAAAAAAGCCTCAATTTAATCATCTAAGATGAGAATTGAAAATGGTGGACAAAGATCAGTTGTTTTGCAATGATCATAACACTTACCAATATATAAACCAGCAGAGCTGTATGACCCTTGTGGGTTTAGTGCTTAGTTCCAATTGTAACCAGCCATTTTTATTCACTTTGCAAACCAACCGACCCAGCGGATTAGCTACATTTTTCCAATGTCTGTTAAATTGAAGGTGTAACAACAAAAGGTCTCTAGCTAGAGTTGTCTTTTTCCATCATGTGTCAACTCAGCCACACACCCACTACCCAATTAAAAATTATTTATTCCTACCTCTTCACCTGACCTGTCTTCACAGTTTCTCAGTTGTGATTTGATAATGGTCCTGGAGAAACTGAAACATCAGTTTCCTCCCCAAAGTGAAGAAAAAGTCACAATACTGTGGCTGGAACAATACACAAATAACCTATACATAAGAGGAGCCTATGAAAACATTTCGGTCCCACTTGAACAATTTACAAGTAGCAATAATGTCATAAGCTTCTCTCTCCCATTTGCGGGTTATCCGTGTATCCTCCTCAAAGTGCAAGTTAATTTTAACCATCTTTCTTGTGAATTACCTCTATTAGAAATTCTATAAAATATCCACTGATGCACGATCATTCAACCCAAAGCTCTGGTATTTTTTCATCTTTTGTTTTGTTTATAACTTTGAGAACCTCTTCTTTAATTACTTCTTGAAGCTTGTCAATGCTCAAACTTGCATCAATTATCTGAAAATATTAAAGTATCTATCAGTGAGCTGTTGAGTGACAGACCAGAACTTGAAGAATAAAAGTTATATTAATATTATAATCATAGGGGAGCGCTAAACCCATAGGATTATACAGTGCCTATGGGGGGGGGGTGAGGGGAAGGAAGGTATTTAGGCTCAATTCAGGGAACTGGAGCACAGATCCAATTCCCTAGATCGAGAGCCCCTCGCCAGGGGGGAATAAAAGTTACAATAAAGTAATACAGGTCGGCCATCAGTAATCCGGCACTAATTTCGACTAGCATAATTTCAAATTTCATCATTATACTGACTCAGAAATTGTGCAGATGGCTGTAAATCCACAGCATCAAGCAAGTGGAGGAGAAAGCAGTGATGAAAATGAGAAAGATGTAGCAGAAATAGTCTCCATTGATAGGTTAATTAAGTGTATTCTAACCTAACCACTCTGTAATCTGGCAAACTCTAGAAGCCAGCACACTACAGGTCCCAATGATGCTGGATTAATGATGGCTGACCTGTCTAGAATAAACTTACAAATATACAAGAGACTCAGAATAATAATAATATTTTTTATTAATACATCAGCCGTTTCCCACCGAGGCAGGGTGACCCGAAAAAGAAGAAACACTTTCATCACTCACTCCTAGTACTGGCATGCCTCTTGCCAGAGGCATGCCAGTACTAGTTCAAAAACTGCAATATATCTCCACTCATCCTTCAAAGTGTTACTTTGCTCACACTCTAAAGGCATGCCAAGTCATAAAAAGCATTTGTAGAGGTCTGAGCAAAGCTCAGACCTCTACAACACATCTGTCCTCAAAGATTTGTTAAGTTATACCATGAATTAAGGAAAGACCCTAGACTTCACCTTATGAAAGCAAAGCATATGCAATAGTAGTTATGGACAAGGTAGATTATAGGGTAAAAATAAACATGATATTTAGGAGACAGGTAAACTCGTGTGCCTCTTAACCCTTTCAGGGTCTCGGCCGTACTAGTACGGCTTACGCACCAGGGTTTTTGGCGTACTAGTACGCCTAATCAAATCTAATGAGAGAAAGCTGGTAGGCCTACACATGACAGAATGGGTCTGTGGTCAGTGTGCGCAGTATAAAAAAAATCCTGAAGCACAGTGCATAATGAGAAAAAAAAAAACTTTGACCGTGTTTTTGGATTAAAACAGAGAATTTGCACTGTATTTTCGTATGGTATTTATTGTTGTATTCTAGTTTTCCTGGTCTCATTTTATAGAATGGAAGACATATTACCAAAATTGAGATGATTTTGACTGGTTTTACAATAAAAAGTACCTTGAAATTGAGCTCAAAGTAGCAGAAATGTTTGATTTTTACCCAAGTTCAAAAGTAAACAAATCATGCTAAGCATCCAATACACGTCAACTGGCGAGTCTAATATTCTTTCACAAGTGCACTGATATTATTTATACTATTTCTACACTAATGCAGTAGTCTGCATAACAGTAAATCTTCTATTTTTTGTGAGAATAAAAATTCAAAGTGGAAAGCAAAAGAATGTAAGAGGGGTGTGGGGACGTGACTAATGAACAGAAGAAATGTTATTTTAGTGCCAGGAATGTCTTTCTTGTTTATTCTGGACCCTATTCGGAAATTGGCATCTTTTGAAATTTGTGTCAAATTGGCAAAATTGCTAAATTCTGACCACTGTATTGGATAGTTGAAATCGGTAAATGGGTGGTTTCTTGTACTCATTCGAGAGAAAAAATGGAGTTCTAACGAAATAGTTATGATTTTTGTCGACTAGTACATTGGAATTGGCCGAAATAGGGCTCAAAGTGGGCAAAATCGCCGATGCGTAAACATCGTCGAGACCACTAACTTCGTGAGAGCATTATTCCGTAAGTTTTCCATCAAATTGCGTACTTTTGGTGTCATTATGATCGGGAAAAGATTATCTTTTCATAAGAATTTTTTTTTTTTTTTTTTTTAAATTTGGCCAACCCTGAGAACAAGTCTCTGAGAGTAGAGGGATGATAATGGGGATGATAACACTGTAATTACCCTCCAAGTGTCGTCCTTGAGTAGCTCGTAGTTCGCCCGCACACGTTTCTGGAACTCCTCCTTCTCGTAGCGCTCTGCACCAAACTGCCCTCGTTTCTGCACGTCCTTCTCGCTTACATCAAGGTACAGCACCAAGTCTGGCTTAGGGAGCCCAGTGTCGCTCTTCTTGCACCATTCCAAAGACATGCCCTAAGACAAAAAGAAAGAGTCAAGACTCATACCTCGGTGATATTGCTAGCACCTCTGGCTTCCAATCTACAGACCTAGAACTCGTGAAATCATAGTAAAATAGCTGCAAACAACCACAAAACCAACAGAGACTGAACCCATGGCAAACGAGTTCAATCCCCGCCTGTTCTGTAGCTTGTTTGCAATCGTGTTACAGGAGGGCCCCACTTATACAGCAAGTTAGGTTCCAGACTATTGCTATACAGGAAGGCCCTGCTTATACAGCAGGTTAGGTTCTGGGCTACTGCTGTAAAATGAATCGCAGCCTTTTTTCACTTTCAAATGCATATGAAAGCCTGGTAACATGCTTACACTATCATATATTAACCCTTTCAGGGTTGGTGCCGTACTAGTACAGCTTGCACGCCAGGGTTGGTGCCGTACTAGTACAGCTTGCACGCCAGGATTAGTGCCGTACTAGTACGCATAAATTCTAGCGCCTTCAAATCTAGCAAGATAAAACTGTTAGGCCTACATATGAAAGAATGAGTCTATGTGGTCAGTGTGCACAGTATAAAAAAATCCTGCAACATACAGTGCATAATGAGAAAAATAAACTTTGACCGTGTTTTTGGTTTAAAACAGCGACTTTGCAGTGTACAGTGGAACCTTGACTTACGAGTTTAAACCGTTCCAGGAGCTAGCTCCTAACTCAATTTACTCATATATCAAATTAATTTTCCTCGTTTAAATTAATTGAAAATCCATTAATTCGTTCCTGCACTCTGGAGAGACGAGAAAAAATACTTGAATATGATGCTATTAGCAACTGTACGGCTTATTTATGTATCACAATTCATCTAATATGAGTGAATGACTTATTGAGTGACTTGACTGACTTACTAATTGACTTGACTGACTTATTGAATGACCTGACTGACTTATTGATCAGGCACTGATCCACCAGGAGGCCTGGTCACAGACCGGGCTGTGGGGGCATTGACCCCAGGAACACTCTCCAGGTGAACTTACTAAATGACTTGACTGACTTACTGAATGACTTAAGAACATAAGAAAGAACACTGCAACTGGCCCATGCGGAGCAGGTCCATGCCCCCCCCCCCTGGATTAGCCCAATGACCCACCCAGTCTGGTCACCCACTCAAGGAGGGAGCACGGCACCAGACCCAGCAGCACAAGCTAGTCAGGTCCAACTCACACCCACCCATGTATTTATCTAACCTATTTTTAAAACTACACAACATTTTAGCCTGAATAACAGTACTCGGGAGTTTGTTCCACTCATCCACAACTCTATTACCAAACCAGTGCTTTCCTATATCCTTCCTGAATCTGAATTTTTCCAACTTGAAATCATTGCTGCGAGTCCTGTCTTGGCTTGAAGTATTCACCACGCTATTTACATCCCCTTTATTTATTCCTGTTTTCCATTTATACACCTTGATCATATCCCCCCTAATTCTACGCCTTTCGAGAGAGTGCAGATTCAGGGCCCTCAGTCTATCCTCATAGGGAAGATTTCTGATACATGGGATCATCTTTGTCATCTTCCTCTGTACATTTTCCAGAGCATTTATATCCATTCTGTAATACGGTGACCAGAACTGAGCAGCATAGTCTAAATGAGGCCTAACCAAGGATATACAGAGTTGAAGAACAACCTGAGGACTTCTGTTATTTATACTTCTATATATGAAGCCAAGAATTCTGTTAGCTTTATTGCGAATACTAATGCACTATTGTCTTGGTTTAAGATTACTGCTAACCAGAACTCCTAAATCCTTTTCGCAATCAGTAGTATTAAGATCTACATTATTTAGTTTATATGTGGCATGGTTATTTACCTGTCCAACACTTAGAACTTTGCATTTGTCAATATTAAACTGCATCTGCTACTTCTCTGCCAATGCATCAGTCTATTCAAATCATCCTGGAGTGCTCTAGTGTCCTCATTAGAATGAATAGGATGGCCTATTTTGGTGTCATCAGCAAATTTGCTTATGTCGCTATTTATTCCCTCACCTAAGTCATTTATGTAAATTGTGAACAACAATGGGCCCAACACTGACCCCTGAAGAACACCGATTCTGATTTCTCCCGATTTATGCAAACTCTCTGCTGCCTATTTGTCAGCCATGCCTCTGCCCAGGAAAAAATTTCTCCTATTCCATGTGCCTTAAGTTTCCTCAATAGCCTCTGATGTGGAACTCAATCAAAAGTGTTACTGAAGTCCATATACACAATATCATATTCATTACCATGATCTACCTCCTCAAACACCTTAGTGAAAAAAGTTAGTAAATTCGTAAGACAGGAACGCCCCTTTGTAAAACCGTGTTGAGATTCATTAATCAATCTGTGCCTATCAAGATGGCTACGAATTGCTTCAGCAATTGATTCCATAAATTTTCCCACTATGAAGGTAAGGCTTATTGGTCTATAGTTTGAAGCCAAGGACCTGTCACCTGCCTCGTAAATAGGTATTACATTTGCCATTTTCCACTTATCAGGCACTATGCCAGTTTGTAGTGATATGTTAAAAAGATTAGCCAAAGGTATGCTAGGTTCCTCTTTACATTCCTTTAACACTTGCAAACAGTTCATCAGGACCAGGGGATCTGTTAGGTTTTAGTGTCTCTATTTGTCTGAGGACCATGTCACTAGTTACTGCAATCATGCGTAGTTTATCACCCTGTTCTACATAATCTATTATTTCAAGAATATCGCTAGTATTTTCCTGGGTGAAAACTGAGAGGAAGTAGGCATTTAGAATTTCACACACATCCTTATCACTGTCAGTGATCTGACCAGAGTTACTCATAAGTGGGCCAATCTTGTCCCTAATCTTACTTCTATATACCTGAAAGAACCCTTTTGGGTTAGTCTTTGAATCCCTTGCAACCTTAGCCTCATAATCCTTTATTGCTTTTCTTATTCCTTTCTTTATTTCTCTCTTTAATTGAATATATTGATTTCTTAACTGCCCATCCCCTCTTTTGATACGGCTATATGTGCCTCTCTTTTCACTAATGAGATGTTTTAATCTATTGTTCATCCATTTGGAATCATTTTTGTTAGATCTAATTTCCCTACTCAGAACAAAAGTTGTCTGGGCAGCTAGAACTATGCTCTGAAAAACGTCATATTGGCAACCAAGATCACCTACCTGACCCATAGTCAGGACATCCCAATTTAGCCCACCCAGGTAATTTTTCAGTCCCATGAAGCCGGCCAAGCAAAAATCTGGGACAGAGATTTGATTGCAGTTATCTGGGTAATTCCATGATATATTGAAACTAAGTGATTTATGATCACTTTCCCCAAGCTTATCATTAACCTCAAGATTATTAATTAGTGAATCTTTGTTGGCAAGAACCAAGTCAAGCAGACTGTTTCCTCTAGTTGGTTCTGTCACAACCTGTTCTAAAAAGCAATCCTGAACCGTATCAAGAAAGTCAATAGACTCAAGATTTCCTGTCATATTATTCCAATCAATTTGTCTAAAGTTAAAATCTCCCATTATCACATTTTCATATCTAGATACCTTATGAATTTCGTCCCATAACGGCTTACTGCACTCCCTATCAAGGTTTGGGGGCCTATAAATCACACCCAAAATTAATTTCTCACGTTCCTCGAGAAACTGTAGCCAAACAGATTCTGTGTTCGATGTTTCTAAATTAATATCATGTCTAAGACAATTTAAATTTTCTCTGACACATCGCCACTCCACCACCCTTCCTGCTGACCCTATCAGTGTGGAATAGTTTATAACCCTGTATGCTGCATTCAGAAGGCATTTCACTATCTTTCAGGTTGAACCAGGTCTCTGTTATACCAATAATATCTATATTACCTACACCTGCAAGTAATCTTAGCTCATCTATCCTATTTCTTAGACTCCTACTATTTGTATAGTAAACCTTAAGGGAGCTAATCACTCGTTGCCCTCTACTATCTCTTTTTGTTTGTTGATCAATTGATTTGCCATTACTAGCAACTTTATTTTGAATATTGTTTTTTCAACATATCTCTGAGGTATCCCAGTAATAACTACTGTTTTTAACTCTATTGCTGCAGCTTGATTGTTTCCCACAAACACCCATACCTCTATAATCTATTAGTTTAAATTCCTAGACGAGTCATCAATTACCCTCTCAATCGAATTGGCTAATCCAACCACTCCATCCCCAGAGAGACGAACCCCATCCCTTGCATACATATCACTTTTGCCAAATTTCCGAAAAGGACAATTATCAAGCCGGAAGATTATTGAGGGACCACTGTACTTGTGTCAGCTCTTTGGTAAAGAAGGTGAGAAAGACTATAGAATTCAAGAACTCGTAGCAGTGTACTAGAGTGGAAGAGGAAAAGAGAGAGGAGAATGTGCCTTCTTCAGTGTTTCTACTATATACATGTATAGGATACTAAAGCAGCATGATTCGATAAAGGCTATAGCGCCTGCCAGTGATAAAGTGTAGCATTAACAGTGTAGCAAGTAAGTTAAGCGATTAATCGATAGAAAAAGGACAGCATGGTCCCAGTTATCAATGAATGGGATTGCAAGTTCCTTGCAGTACCTGTCTAGCCAGCAATTTATACCAATTGCCTTTGACATCCATTAATTGCCCACTCCCTTTCTAGGCAAGATGCTACATATGACTGGGATCCCTCCCTTAGACCTAACTACTTCTATGGCTGACCTGTACTTATCCAGCAGCTCCTCTCTCCTGCCCTTCCCAATGTCATTACCCCCAGCACAAAGACGGATAATGGGCTTGTTCCCATTACCTGCCATAATATTATCTAACCTGATGACTATGCCACCAACACCAGCTCCAGGAAGGTACACTCTGTGTCTGACCTTTCTGTCTCTGTTACAAAATGCACGGTCCATATATCTTACCTGAGAATCGCCTACTATTAAAATATTCTTACCTTGATTAGCAGGGGAATCAGTGGTACCTTCAACCTCACTAACCACTGAAGTACACTCGTCT